AGAAAGGGAAAACTAAAGGCTCATGGGAGAAAACCTACCTGGTGGAATTTTCATGAATGTGAAAGTATACAGTTTTTATTTGGAGGAAACTCTATAGGATGAATAATGCATTTTTTTCCCTTACAAATAAGTCTTAAGTACAGTAAGAAAGGAAGCAGGAGAAAATATTAAACAGATATCAGATAAAAGTATCCTAATGAAAACATGATAATTATGAGATAACTGGAAGGTTTTTAAAATAGAAATTCTAGAGAGTAAAAAATAAAACGTCTGAAATAAAACTTTCATAAGAAAATTAATATCAAATTAGATACTAAAGAAGAATAGATAAATGAACTCGAAGATACAGAAATAAAATTTATCCAAAATTTAGGCCAGAGAGAAAAAAGACTGAAAAATAAACATGTTCCCTTCCCATATTTTAATTCTTGCTCTTATGTTTTAAATTCACCAATAAAAATACACCCACAAAACCCTAGCTCCCCCATTCTCAACCCCATAAAAGAACCCCAGGCCTGTGCTCCTTCTCTCTCTATACATGACCTCACTGTGTAGCCCCAGGCATACCATGTACCCTCCAGGACTTGTGAGTAATAAACCTTATTATTTTTACCGAAGATTCCTGAGAGTGTCTTGCAATCAAAATAAGAACCACAGGGGCAGTTCTAGCCACAACATAGTTCCAAAAGTGAAGAGGTCTGTGGGGGCTCACTGTGAGGGCTGAGGTGAGTACCCTCAGGGACATCTAGCCAATAGCATCACTATGGATAGCTGAGACCAGCACAAAACAGGGTGTAAAGAAAGGAAAATTATTGAGAATTAAAGAATTAGATTTATAGTTTAGGCATCTGGATATATGTTGAAGTCATTTACTGAAATGGGCAGTACAAGAAGAGACAGGTTTTTTTTTGGTTTTTGTTTTTTGTTTTTTGTAAAATATATGACCTCATTTCAACATGTAAAGTTTGAAATGCCTATTTATAATCTCCAGGTGAAACAGCAGGACCTACTTGTTTGGAACGCAGAATAGAGGTCAAACTGAATAGGAATTTGAATATTGACAAGAAGTCTAGATAGATAATTGGATAAAGAAACTGTGGTACATATTTACAATGGACTGTTACTCAGTTATAAGAAGAGATGAAATACTGCCATTTGCAACAACATGGATAGACCTCGAGATAATCATGCTAAATGAAATAAAACACACAAAAAAGTTGAAAGCCACATGATATCACTTCTATGTGGGATATAAACCTAAAAGCAACAAATGAACAGGACAAACAAACAGAGACTCATAGACATGGACAATAGACTAGTGGTTATCAAAGGGGAGGGAGAGGAGGAGGGGAAGGGGTAAATGGGGTAAAGGGGGTCAAATATGTGGTGACAGAAAGACATCTAACTATGAGAGGCGAACACACAGTGTAAATATATATGCCTTACTCTTCAAATGTATGGCTGAAACTTATTGGATTTCATTAACCAATGTCACCATAAAAAAATTAATTAATTAAAAAAAAAAGGAACAGGAAGTCTGATTACTTATGGCAAAGTGATATCTTTCATCAGGACAGCATTTCACAAGTGGGCCATAAAAACTCCTGTCAATTTTCCATTATGCAGAATTTTGGCGAGTCACTGAAAAAGAGGAAGGGGGATTAGTTCCCTTAAAGTTTATTATATCTTTATCAGGCTAGAGAGTTCCATGTTTTTACAAACCACCAGACACAACCCTCTCACAGATTATCTTACTTCTGTTCTCCCTCATCTATTTCCTCTCATGTTTCTTAAGATTAAAATATGCCATCATGATTCTGACAATTTGATGCCAACTCTCTCCAGTCCTCCTAAATATACTCACTTTTCTCTCAGCTTAACTGCAAGGAAAAAAAAAAGAACAACTTTGCTATCTCAGAGCTTGCTTGTATTTTTTAATTTTTTTATTTATAGGTGTACATATTTTTTCAGTGTCCATCCCATTAAAATATAAGAACTTCAGTTTAGTTCCTCAGTTCATTTCTTCACTCCTTTCATTTATTTTCTTCTGATTTATGGAGACTCAACTCAATTCAATTTCTCAACATTACTCTTAATCTGCTTCCACTTGATTAATGAAATACTTATCTTTAATTAAACCCATTTCTCTCTAGCACTTGACCTTAAAAAACTAAAATGGAGCTGACTTTAGTGATGATGCTATTTTTTGGATTACCCTAAAGTCTGAGAGATTTTTTTTTTAACATTCAAGAAACTTTCAGGTTATCTAAATCAATATGTTCCCAGTTCACATAAGAAGGCAGGTTTGAGTAGCTCTCCTATACTTATATTATATTCTTATTTATCATCTTATTAGAAAATAATATATTTTAAATATCAGATAAATAACAAAGTGGGCACCCCACCAGAGCTGCCGCTGCCAGCGACATATTCAAGGTAATTCAGAGGTCCGTGGGGCCGGACAGCCTGAGTCTGCTCACCTTCAAAGTGTATGCATCACAGAAAAAGGACTCACCTCACAAAACTTCCATGAGGATTAATGAGCTTTCACTCTACTCCGTTCCCGAGGGTCAATCTAAATATGTGGAGAAGCCAAGGACTCAACTTGAAGAAAGCATCTCACATCTCAGACAGTATTGTGAGACATATACAAGTTGGTGTCAGGAAATATACTCTCAAACTGAGCCCAAAATGCAAAGTTTGGTTCAGTGGGGATTAGACAGCTATGAATATCTCCAAAAGGCAGCTTCTGGATTTCTTCTAAGACTTGTTGTTATTAGTTTTGCTGGTGTTGTTGGACTCCTTTTGGCCAGAGGTTCAAAAATAAAGAAGTTGCTGTATCCACCTAGTTTCATGGGATTAGCAGCCTCTCTTTATTATCCACAACAAGCCATCATATTTGCCCAGGTCAGTGGGGAAAAATGATATGACTGGGATTTACGAGGATACATAGTCATAGAAGATTTGTGGAAGGAGAACTTTCAAAAGCCAGGAAATGTGAAGAATTCACCTGGAAATAAGTAGAATACTCCATGCCTTACCCATTTTAATCAGTTATAGGTAAACATTGGAAACGCCATACAGCAATCCAGTATTTTTACAGAAAAATAGCAGAGAAGTCAGTATTGAATGTAGTAAACTGACTTTCTTCTTCAGGAAAAACTATACTAGCCCTCTTTGTTGTCTTGGGTGGTGTCAGACTACAAGGGGACTAATCTGAAATCCTCTCACCTAGAGATAATGAACAAGCCTTAGAACTCTTTGTTCTCATATTGCTATTTATGTACATAATTAAAATTCCAAATTAAAAAAAATAAATAAAATAACAAGATGAGAAATCCTTAATGCCTCTCAAAATAGTAAATCTTAAATATTTGCTTAACAGTGTAGGATGCAGGAATAATACATTTTATTATTAAGTTATTATAAATTAATCCTTCGAACACATTTTCTTTTCATAGTTTGGAGAATTCTCACATTAAGATTAAAGATACTAGGGGTGGCGCCATAGTGTAGTGGTTAGCAAGTCTGCTTTATACATGGAAGGTCCTGGGTTTGTACCCCAGGTTCATGCCCAAGGTGGAGCCATGGACCATAGTATGCTAGACCCCGGGTGTGCCAGGCTTCCCGAGTTCACTGTGGGTGCCAGGCCCCGGGGGTGCACCACAAGCATGTGAGAGGAGACACTCCGCCTTCAGAGATCCAGTTCTTAAGGGGAGATGGCAACATCCGTAGGTCAGGGGTGGAAGTAGTGGGGGCGGGGGGGAGGTGATTAAAGAGGGAAAACAAAAGATTAAAGGTACTAATCCAGAGATCATAATTATGAAAGATGCTAATTACCCAGCATACTTCTTTTGAACCATCTATATATGTGTATCACTAGGTGGATACGGCAAGTCTAGAATTGAGACATAGTGTGTTAAAGGGTTGGTACCTTTGATACACATACATGATGACTTCAGAATAAAAATTGGGGTGGTGATATTAGTAAAATGGAGGGCTAGGAGATCTCAATACAGTCTCGCCACAAAAACAACAACAACAACAACAACAAAAACAATAAATAAACAAGTACAAACTGACAAAAATAGTTCTGGGAAAGCTCTGAAAAAGCAGTGGAGAGCAAAAACCAATGATGGCTGCTGAGAAATGCATAAGAAACATTTTAAGTGTATCATTTCATTCCCCAGGACAGAAAAACTCAGCATCAAGAGGAATCACTTCAGAGGTATTTCACCCCAGGGATAAAGGAGAGTGGGAAACCTCAGCAAGACTCACCGCTATGATGTTTGCTACCCTTGATAGTGAGGACTACTGCAGTCTTTACCAACACTGATCTCAGATAAGGGAGATGCCCAGAGTCCCCACCGTGGCATCTTCTTCCTGGGAATGGAGCTGTCCACTGTGGTGAGACAGCTGCTGTGCCCCACTTTCCAGGATTGAGATGCTACCGCACCTTACTAAATATGGGAACGGAGCTGCCGTTTCTCTGCACCCCGCCCCCTGGGTCCCAAGTAAGTCTTTGACCACCATTATTGGACCAAACTGCTGCTGTTCTGAGACCCACCCTCGGATCCCAGGCTGGCTAGTACTTATTGCCAAGGCCAAACTGTTGCTGCTTTGTAATCTGCCTTTTTGGTCTCAACATGTGACTTTAATGAGTCACCACCAGGGGCATGTTGTTGTCCCATTACTTCCCCTGGGGACAGAATTGGGACTTGACCCACCACCCCCAGGCTGTGCTTTTACTGCACCCTGCCCCTGGGCTCAAGCTGCAACTCTATCCTGTCATCTCAGGACCGCCACCTCAAAGCCACTCCTGTCACTGCAGTGAGTCCAAGATCCAGAACCTAGTTGCCGGAGAGATCTACATATGCCCACACCTTTGACACCAGTGTCGCTGTCACAACAAATGCACCTGTGCCCCAGGACTCACGTGCTTTGGTAGTTCCACTTGCACCTGACTCCAGGACCCTGGCTCTCTGTTAATGCTCTGAATGCCAGAACACCAGACGAGGTGTCAAGAGGGATCCTCTCTTCTAGAATTTTCTCCCAAGAGAAAGAAGGAAAACAGAAGGACCCCAGTGGTCTTCACCTCTGAGTATCCCAATAAGCCTGGCTGCCACTGCCACCTCAGGTCCTCTGAATTCTTGGCCAGAGAATATTCCCATAGTCAATGTTGACCTCAGCTGATGGAGTTTTACAGAGACTCCGCTGTGCCATCCCAGGAACCAAAGAAGCTGCGCCCGACCCAGCTTGTATCCTTGCAGCTAACTTCAGGTGAAAATTTTTGCCTAGCTTGTATCCTTGCAGCTAACTTTAGGTGAAAATTTTTGCCCATCAAAACCAGACTGGAAGAGGTGATTTCTCCCACAAATGTACAGACATCAATGCAAAGCATTCAGAAACACAAAAAATGGAAAAAAAAAAAAATAACACCACCAAATAAACACAAAAATATTCCATTAAGTGACACCAAAGAAATGTAGATTGGTGAGTTATCTAAAAAAAGAATTTAAAATAATTATTTTAAGAAACTCAGCAAAATTCAAGAGACACGGATAATTAACACAATGCACTCAGGAAAACAATGCAGGAACTAAATGAGAAGTCAAACAAAGAGGTAGAAAACATTTTAAAAAATTATTAGAGATAAGAAACATGGTGGAAGTCCCCAGACCTCTCCCCTTGAAACAACAATAAGCTGAACATGTAAAACTCAAAAAAAAAAAAAAAAAAAAAAACAACAAACCAAAAACACAACACCACCCAGCCTGCACACAAGCACATCTGAGCAAGGAATCTGTGAATAAGAACTTCCACTGGTCAGAACTGCATGAGTCCAGTGGCAGACTGGGAGAAACAAAGAAGTTGCCTCTCCCAGCTGGAGTTCCCTGTAGGAGGAGGGGGAAGGGAGAAGATGCAGTGGGTTTCCTGAACAACCCTGCCTGAGAGAGATGTGAGAACCATGCAGCGGCAGTACCCAGGGGAAAAAAAACAGAGAAGTGAGGATAGCAAAGAAGTAGGGACGGCAGAGAACTGGGGATGACAGAGAAGCAACAGTTGATTATTATCAGCTGCGGTTGCAAAATGTGAGGTTGAACTGCAGCCCTCATCCCTCAACCCAGAGGGCACCTCTCCCTATATCCGCAGACTGAACACCACGGAGCCCCAGGGGAATCTGAGCAACTGCTATCAAAACTGTAGCTAACACTGATAGGGACTGAAACTGAGGGTAATGAGCGTGATTGAATACTTATAAGAAAAAAAAAAAAAGGCATTATTAAGACTTTATATAAAGCAGGGATCCAAGAGGATCCATCTACTGGAAACCAAAAGAAAAATGCCTTCTTAGTAACTGGATAAAGAAAGACCTTTATATAATAAATCTTCTTTCTGGAAAAAAATACACTTCCATTAATGCCCAGGTGGAGAAATTGTCCATTAAACACCATGAACAACCTACATGACAAGGCAGCTAAGAAAGAAAGAGAAAAAACTCCAGAAATAAGCTTACGGACATAGAAATATGTGACTTAAATGACAGAATTCAGGATGGTACTTCTGAAAAAACTCAATGGGATCTAAAATAATTCATACCAACAATTTCAGGAATTGAAAAAACGACTAGATCAGCAGAATGAATTCTTTAGCAAGGAGATTGAAACCTTCAAAAAGAACCAAATAGAACTTCTGGAGATGAAGAACACACACTGCAAGGGTTGAAAAATGAAATAGCAAGCTTGGGAAATAGAGCTGATCAAATGGAAGAAAGAATCAGTGATATCAAAGACTGAAATCTAGAAATAAATCAGAAGGAAGAAGAAAGAAACCAAAGAATGAAAAACAATGAAAGAGAAATATAAGAACTAGCTGATACTCTCATGAAAGGAAACATAAGAATAATGGACATTCTTGAAGGGGAGAAAAGGGAGCAGGGATTAGAAAGCATTTTCAAACAAATAGTTGATGAGAATTTCCCAAATCTAAAAAATGAACTGGAGCTTGCAATTCATGAAGTCAACAGAACACCCAATTATCTCAACCCAAAAAGGCCTTCTCCAAGATACATTATATTAAAACAAGCAAAATCAATGACAAAAAAAGAATTCTCAGGGAAGCCAGGGAAAAGAAGACGATAATCTATAAAGGAAAAGCCATTAGATTGTCATCAGACTTCTCAGCACAAACTTTACATATAAGAAAGGAGTGGAATCACATATTCAAACTATTAAATGAAAGGAACTACTAGCCAAGGATAATATATCCAGGAAAGCTCTCCTTTAGATATGAAGGAGAAATTAAGACCTTTCCAGACATACAAAAATGGAGGGAATTCTCCACTATGAGGCCTGCACTACAGGAAATACTGAAAGAGTTCAGCTCACCTAAAACAAAATGACAAAAAAATACATAATTATGAGTAAGGTGACTAGCTGGCATTTAGAAGCAGAGTAGTACAAACTTACTTAGAAGAGGGCATTATAAGCTTAAACAATAAGAAGAGATTTGCTATAGCAAGATAGTAATGAATGTTCAGCATACATAAGGACAAACTGAAACAATAATAGAAAAGGAGAGGTTTCCAAGATCCAAATTTGCAAACGAGAATGGGGAGATAAGGCACACGCAGAAGAAAATGGACTACTATATACATATAACTCTCCTCTACATATTTGTAATGGTAACCACATGCCAAGATTCAGAGACTGGAGTATATAATATAAAACAAGAAGGACCAAAGGGAAAATCCACAAAACCCAACCAAAACAAACAAACAAAAAAACAAAACCCCTAGAAAAACAGAGACAAGGAAGCAATGAAAACACTGAGCTACCAGAAAGCAAAAGATAAAATGATTATAGAAAAACCTCATATTTCAATAATCGCCCTAAATGTAAATGGACTGAACTCGCCAATAGAAAGGCACAGAGTTGCAGAATGGATCAAAAAACAAAACCCAACCATATGCTACCTCCAGGATTGCACTCAGCTCCAAAGACAAATATACATTCAAAGTGAAAGGGTGGAAAATGATATTTCAAGCAAATGGCATTCAGAGAAAAGT